ACTCCACCAATGAACGCCTTCCACAAGCTAGATACCACCACCTGCTTACCCATACCTATAAATATCCACCAACAGTAATCACAATTCACACAACATTCAGCCTTGATAATGGATGCAGAACGCATTCGAAACGCATCGGCCAACTCATCACTAGCTACAACTTTTACCCGTTGTTCTAACAACGTTAAGACGGCTTATCGACTTCTTGAGAAGAATTCTAAGAAGAAAGTAAACCTACAGACATCGGTCTTGTTTAACAAAATCTGCCTTATGTACATATATAAATGTGAAATCCTAGTTAAAAATAAAAGATACTCGTTTGTTGCTTAGGTTCACTTAGAAATATTCTTTTCGGTCTTGTATATTACTTGAAACCGTGAGGAGAGTATGTGATTATTAAAATATTACAAATAGACAAAATTTGCATTTTATGGACAAAAAAAAGTTTTTAGAGATTTTAAAATAATGTACTAAAACATAAAAAGTAAGAAGTTCCAATCTGGAACAAATATAGATATCATAATCATATCTTATAAATAATATTTCCAAATGTAATTTTCCAAGATATTAAAGATTATAATGCAAAAAACTAAATTTATCAAAGTAACAAGCTATATGTTTCTTAAACTATGTGCATTTATGAAAGTTCTTACGAAGTTTCAAACAATATATTATTTTTGGTTAGTGGCCGGTTAAAAGGCATTCTGCAGAGAATTATACACAAACTAGATATTTGTGTGTTTATATATATGTGAATAAATACTACAATGAGTATATAATGTCATTAGTTATGTGCCCTGTTGTGAGGGTATGTGTTGTTTTGGTATGCTGTTCTCACTTGAAAAATACCGTATCTACAGGTTTGATGAAATGCTCTTTTGATGATGACTTAAAATTTTTGAACTATGATTGTTTGATGGTATTATCTGATGGTAATGGGTAAATGTTTTTGATAAAATTACAAACTGCCAGAGCTGTTCAAATTTTGAAAACTGAACAAACAGAAGTGGTGTATTTATTTTGATATATTATGTCAATGGCAATCAAGTTATGGTCAGTCTATCATACGCTTGATCTGTATAATCCAGAGTCTAGACAAGGTCATGGTAGGTAAAAATGGCCATTATAATTTGCCAGTCCACTGTTCATGGTCTCAGTATGGAGTACATAACAGCAACTGGAGTTGATATCAGTTACTAAGTATAAAAAAAGAGAACATCCTGAGTCGGAACACGTTTCAACTACATTGTTGCACAGCAAAGTATAGCTTATTTAAAATTTGTCAAGATCATGATAATTGGCAAAATGCATACTATTATCAGTTATCAAAAGGTTTGTGCCTGGAGAGTTGAGATGTGTGGCATTGTGCTGTACTGTTTGGAGGGATCAACTTGAATGGACTTGCACAACTTAATGTGCTGCTAGTAGATTAATTTCCTGCTTGATGAAATTAGACCCAGATGTGTGATTTTTCATGGGCTCCATAAACCAAACTTTGCCAGGATTGTAATGAACTATTTTAAAAACACACA